GTTGACGGTTGGACTTGATGATCTTAAAGGTCTTTTCCAACCTTAATGATTCTGTGATTCTGTGGTTCTATGAGGTTGCGCAAAGAAGTCTAAAAGCGATTAAAAGGGACTTGAGAGCACTCGGGCGACTGCTTGAAGGATCAGGAGCACAGGTAGTGTTTTCATCAATCCTTTCAATGGCAGGGAGGAACACTGAAAGGAACAGGAAAACACACCTTCTTAACACGTGGCTCAGAGGCTGGTGCCGTCAGCAGAATTTTGGGGTTTTTTGACCATGGGGCGGTTTGTGTAGTAAATGGGCTTTATTGTAAGTACATGGTCACTTGCATTTGCCTAAAATAATATGTGCAGTGCAGAATTCCAGCTGTGTGTGGAGGACACAGACTGTCTGCCAGTGAAATCTCCCTGCTGGCTTACTAATGCAGTGCAGAATTCCAGCTGTGTGTGGAGGACACAGACTGCCAGTGAAATCTCCCTGCTGGCTTACTGGTTGCAAGATAGGCGACTTGATTAGTGGAGGGAGAACAAACATGATGAGGATATGAGTACAAACTCACAGCTGTTTGTTCTCCTCTTTAGAGTCATGTAATCTCCTCCTCTCCTAAACTCTGATTTCTCTGACCTAAGTGTAATTCCAGCTGTGTGTGGAGGACACAGACTGCCAGTGAAATCTCCCTGCTGGCTTACTGGTTGCAAGATAGGCGACTTGATTAGTGGAGGGAGAACAAACATGATGAGGATATGAGTACAAACTCACAGCTGTTTGTTCTCCTCTTTAGAGTCATGTAATCTCCTCCTCTCCTAAACTCTGATTTCTCTGACCTAAGTGTTTTATTATGGGAGGTGCTTGACCTCCAGAAAAAAATGAGAGTGCAGAGTGCTTTGGCAGCTGGGAGGATGAAGCTTGGAATGAAGATCATCAGCCCACTGCAGGTTGTTAGTTCCTACAGCATGTGCGTTTCATGAAGTGTTCCTGACCATGGGATGATTTCTGTTCAATGTTGTTCCATGGGGTTTGTCCACATGGAACAGGAAGCGGAGGGCAGAATATTCTAACTCAACCTCTTAA